TCAGGGAAGAACCTTTAATAATGTCTGCTCTTATAAATTTTGAGACAAAATCTTTTAATAAATCTAATAATAAAGAATTCAAAATATGAATTTTTGGCTCATTAGATTGTAAGGTAATTAAGCTTCTTTCAAAAACTGGGATGATATAATTTAGAAACAAACAATAAGCTTTACAGATATCTGATGAAAGAAATAGAAGCATTTGTTCTTCCCTAGTCAAAACAGATTCCTGTTTAGAAGATTTCGGTGAAGAATTTTTAGAACAATTACCAGCTTTTAATTTCTTTGCAGGATTTCCCATTTCTGATTTTTGTTCAGAAGTTTTTAATGAACTATTAGAGAAATTACCTACCTTCAATTTCTTCACAGATTTTTCTATTTCTAAAGGCCTTTTCTTTTTAATATGTGCATTCTCCACTTTGTTGTCATTTGCAGATATTTTTAATGGTATGGAATAGTCATTAAGACTATGGCATTTGCTCTTTCGATTTATTTGATCCTTGTAAAAGCTACACAGAGGATCCCATTGTTCCAGAAGTCTCATTAAGCATCTACCCAAAGAGAGCCATCTTGTGCAAGTATGTTTCAAAATTTTATGTGTATCAACGTCATGTAAAATTTGCAAAGCTTTAAGTTCAAGTTTCTTTTTAGAACTCTTCTCTAAGTAAAAAAAAATATCAACCAAAACATCACTAACTGATATAGGTAAAGCAGCAGCTCCTCTTTCAGCAGCAATGTGTACTAAATGGCAAGGACAGCCAACAACAAAAATTTCTGGATTTGCTGTCTTAATCACAGCGGCAACACCATTCTTTGAGCCAACCATCACTGGAGCATTATCACAGCTAAGTGCTAAACAATTTTCCAAAGGAATATTTTTTAATTTCAAAGTTTTTAACACCAAATTACCTATGTTCTGTCCTGTAGAGCTTAAATCTAAAGTCGGCACGGCAAGCAACGATACCTTGACTTCACCGGCATTTGCGTCGAAGTAAGATACAACGATGGGATAAAGTTGCGCATCTGTATCGTTGCTACCATCAGTAGCAACAGCAAACATTTGCTTTTGAAGAGATTCAACAATTGAAGCTTTCTTCACATCAGCTATTTTTGAAATAATAGCAGCAGTTTTTGTTCGTCCTGCACCATACTTCTTAGCAACATCGCTTTTAGGGAACATTTTCCTAAATAATGGACCTGCATGATCTGCGACACTAATAGGTAGATTGTGCTCGACAATGAAAGACGTAAAATACACTTCAGCCCGTATTACATCGTCATCACTTCCAGACGCAAGATACTTACTGATGTTTTCATTTTTATTAACACATTCCGCTAAATCCTTGTGTCTCTTTGTGCGTATATGATCATTAATATTGCTTTTACCGCCATGTGCTATTTTGAAATCTAGTCCACAAACATTACAAAAGGCATAGTGCTGCGATTTGTTAGACTTAATTATACAAGGAAAGCTTTTAGAATAAGATTCTAAAAAAATCTGATTGTAAACTTTAGGTGACATTTTTACAAATAAAACAAAATCACGCTGCAATCCATGAGCAACAAATTGTAAACAAAAACATTACCGTTGCCAAAAAGCGCTCTTAATTTAGTCCGTGATTACCGGCCATGTGATCTCCTACATCAGCGTTCCCACTGGCTCATTTTGACGAGGCGCATACTCACTCTCATTGGCCAACGATTGTTTTAGCGTCACGTGATCGGCTCTCAATACCAACCAGATTAAAACATGTCAGGGTTTCGTTTTTTTGTGATGAGTTTCCTAACTAGTATTTAAAATCTTGTAAACCTTTGAATTTGTGACTTTAAGCATGCTGTTAATTTTATTTTCTTTATTTTTAAAAAAAAAAACGAACTATAAATGATTACGCAGCCGTACGATTTTAACGCTTGTCCGTACAACCGTACGATCGAGTAAAATACCGTACACTGTACGGCGAAACCGTACAAGTTGGCAGGTCTGAAAATGTATTTAAAAAAATTATATATTTACCAATATATCTTTAGAATCCACTTGATTAAGCCACATATCAAATTCTTTAGCCCAATTCAAAACAATATTGTAAGGACAAATGACCATAGCAGTCTTTATAACTTTGCTAACCTCTGGATTTGTCATGCATGTATGCAGAAATGTAATGACCTGAAGAGTTTTTCCTAGACCCATACAATGGGCCAAAATGCAACCTGAACCAGGAGATGAGTTAAGACTCTTCAAAGACTCTATTGTGCATTCCCACATAAATTTCACACCTATACAAATAAAACATTATTTTAGAATACATATTCTTAATCGGCATTACAGACAAATATGAATTGTAATCATCAGACATGCCACAGCAGTTTTGATAAAAAAGCTAAACTTAGAATGATAACAAAAATTCAGAAACAGGTTTTCAAAATTATGAATTTTACAATAATATTACCATTTAAAGGAATTATTATATTGAATGAAGTATAAATTAAATAATTTTTTAATGCAATTATTTAATATTATGAGACTCTTAACTCTCCAAAGCATTGAACCCCTAGTAAAACTGTACAAAAATTTTACTACTGAGCACTATTTTCAATACTTTAATTCAATAACATGGAAAAACTGGGTTTTTTTTATGCAGAAAAGTCTGCACCTGAAAGTTTAGAAAAAGCCAGGAATAACAAGCAGGGGGAAATGTTATTTGTTAAGTAAATGCTTAGTAAGTTTAGAGGGGTTAGTATTAAGATACAGACAAATAAGAAAATCCATTATTCTTTGGAAATTGGAATCTGGTTTAATATTTCTAATATAAGTGTTTCACTAGTTAACTTAAGATTTTTATTTAAAAAAATTAATTTAATGATCCTCTAGACTACTGTTGAATTTGACACCAATTGTTAGTTGGATTAAAATCATATTATATAACTGAATAAAGAGAACAATTTCAATTTCCGAAACAACTTATCTCTATCATACAAGATTTCAATTGATGATTTAAAAATAGCAAATAAGTTCATGACCAAAATTAACATTCAAAAAATTTCATAAGAAAGTTTCTATTTTCTTTTAAAAAATTTACATTTAAAAGTCATAGTGGCAATTAAAAACTAAAATTCAAAAAAAGAAATAAAAGGTACAATTTTATAAAAATTATTCATAAATAACACTGACAGATAATAGTTCAAAAATGTACAAAAGAAGTGGCATTGCTCGCATTCTTAATAATAGAAAAAATAATATTTTCAATGCTTTGTTAAAAAATATTATTGCTTGAACAGTAGGAAACCATGCTAGAACAGAAAAAAAGATAAGCAAAATATTTATAAAAATTTTTTTAATATTATGATAGTGCAATTATCAAAATTTGGCAATTGAAGGATTCTATTTTCTTCTCTAATATTTAAATTTGAAAATGAATTTGGCAAATTTATTGTCTTGCAATAAAAAACAAAGAGAGAGAGATTGCAAGCTCAGGTTTTCTTTTGTATTAGAAATTACCTAACAAAATTATTATGTTACGCTATCGCGGAAAATTTTACAAACAAAAGATACGGTGTGATAATTTCTTACTAATATAGTAGTTTCAAATGGAGTTAGTGGAAGAGTTCCATCACATGACCGATAGAATTCCTTTAACAAATATAAACAACAGTAAAAACTCAAGGTAAGCTAATCAAATAGTGTTATAAGTTTGATACACATACAAAAATGATAAGAAAAAGAAACATAATAATAATCAGGATCCTTATGGTTATGAAACCAGTGTAGCCTGAAAGCACAATCCCAAAGGAATTATTTAAGTGTGTTAAACAATTGTCATAAATTGTTATTAATCACCAACACAGAAGAACACTACAGGTTTGTATTCAGCAAAAAGCAGGATGCAATTTTTACAAGTCATCATTTTTAATCAACAAAGAAGTTTTCGACATTAAGCTAAACTGAACAATCACTAACAATTATGTCTCTAACAAGCGATGGAACTATTAGAGATATTTTTCTATTTCCATAGGGCAGTAAGAAACCCTTTCTCGTAGTAGAAAGCTGCACAATATTGGTGCAGCATTAATATGTACCAACTGTATTAATATAAAAAGCATCATGATTGAGACATAAGAAATGGAGAAGGCATGTAAACTATGTATAGATAGCCCTCATGAAAATAAAATTCATGGGAACTAAACTGTCTTAAAAATAGTATTGAAAAACTGAAAAAAAAATTTATTAATTAGTTCGAATATTGGGACAATTTAGTAGTAAGTTAGTAGTAAAATTAATATTGCAAGTCCAATTAATTTTCTTTGTGTTATGTCATTTTCTACAAATTAATAACACATTAAGCAAGAATTTTCCAAAAAAAAAACATTCAGTATTTTGGAAACTTAAAATATAGATATAAGTTTTGGAATATTCCAATGAATCATGCATACATTTCATTTCATTTAAAAAGGAGATTTAAGATAGTGTACCTTCAACTTGATGTGGCTTTAGTTTATCTATCAAATCTGGATGTACCTCAACAATTTCTTCTTTAGAATCAGGATCAACCTCCAACACCATTTTTTTGGTAATTTTATGACCATCTTTAGAAAAGTCGGTTATTACATTGTACTAGAATTAAAAAAAAGGCCAAATTTAGTCTCTTCATCATCATATTTATGTTTCATTGAAAGGAAATTTCATAAATTTCGCAAACTATGATGGAATAAACAAAGTTAGGAGTTTTGCATAATGTCAACACTGCAAAAACTTTAAGATCTATGACTTTAAAGGGAAAATAAAAATATTACCATACTGATTATTTTTTGCAAATACAGTACAGATATATTTATCGAGCATACAGAAAACCGGGAAAAATTTTGCTCGGTTTTTCCGCCATTTTGAACTTGAAGGATTGAGGGGAAAAAGCAGAAATTTTACTCATCCTGGAAATAGAGTAAAAGGTGGGTATTTTTTTCCCATTCATGGAGAATAAACTTCAATATTCCTTCTACTTCTTTTACTTAACATAGATTTATTATTTATGTATTTTATTGTGATCGTGATTCTTAAAGTTTAAATATCGTATAATATAAGTTTGTTAAAGATTAGAGGTTTAAATATTGAAATAATCAAGTTAGGAAATTAAAACTAATAATAATCGTTAAGTTTAAAAATAAGGTTAAGTTTAAATTACCAATAAAATTAATGCCTAATACTCGAACGTGAGAGACAATATTTAAGCACATGAGATATAAGAAAAACAATTATACTCTGTGTATGTGGCAAGGCAAACCCACAAGTATGCATAAGGACTTGAAACAAATTAATATTTAAATGAATAGGGTAAAGTTAAAATTTATACGTTAAATTGCGTTGATGTAGGCCGAATAGTAGTGGTCCAGCGTTGTTGAACACCGAATAACCCAATAGGTCCATTGGGTCAAGATTTAGAAATAAGTTAATAAACAAGAACAATTAATATGAATGATGCATATGAAAATATAAGGAAATAGCATTCTTGTAAGTTTGAATATTATCTGTGCTAACTATTAAGTAAATTATGGCTACTCACCCTATATGCCGATTACACCACGATCTGTAGCGATACACAATAACTATGAAAAATACATATAAAGAGTCATGTAAATTCATTTCCTTGGTAAATTCATTTATTTATCTCGTATGACTATCAGAGACAGTGAAGGTTCACCAACTAACAAACTTTGCATCAGCTCACATGCACATTTTTATTGCACAAAATTTGTCTCGTAAAAGTAGCACAAATCTTCAACATAAAAGATACCCTTTTCGCAAGGTATATCGGAGTTTTCACATTACTAAAAACCACACAAAAATCTTGTCATTAAACAATCATGAAATAAGAGAGAGTGTTCCTTTTTTTCGTCATGCATCGCCTTATAAAAACTCGGGGTATTCCTTTGAAAAGCCAATAAGGGAAAAAAAAGGGGTATGACACCTTAAACAAAAGCCAATGAAAAAAAAAGTGGGCTATACAAAATTCAACCCCTCAAGAAACCATTGGCCGATAGAAGAAACAAGCACCGGACAGTATGGCCAACCATGACCCTTTCGTGTGAAAGGGGAAGCAAGGTCAAAAGGCTAAAGGTTAAAATTAACGATTACTGTCTGGTTCGCAATTAAAAGTACACATACCGTGTGAGAAAAAAGGAAAAATGTCAAGAGGTGAAGGGGACAAGACATAAAAAAACCTATATATCTATTTCTCACGGTTGACCAGCAAATGCAGCTGCAACGAAAAAAGGGTCCAAAATCCTCCCATGCAGGTGTTAAGGAAGAGGGGATCCATCCAAAGTGGGGGTCAAGAGGAAATGGGTGCAGCGCATATCAGAATACCGCACGTGAAAAAAAATAAGATTGGGAAATATCACTTGAGGGGAGTGCATGACTGAAAAAGGAAAAAAAACACTAATTGATAATATAAATAAATTACAATTGCATAAAAAAAATTATAAAACACAATAAATCTATAAAAGTTAATAATTAAAAAAATATGCAGTAAATAAACATGTACATTTTAAATTGATAAATTTTTCAAATGTAAACTGAACGTTAAATGAAGTTAAGAGCAGTAATTCGTAAATAATAAATTAAGAGTTAAGATAATAAAAGTAAAGCAAATTAAGAAAACAAAATTAAAGCAAATTAAGAAAACAAAATTAAAGCAAATTAAGAAAAAACAAAGTTAAAGCAAATGTTAAAAAAACCAAAAGTGAAGCAAAAATTTAAAAAAAAAACAAATTATATTAAGGAGAAAATAAACTTGTGATAATTAACATTATCACAATTCTCCACCTTCTCCCAGAAAAATTATATTCCTAACGGGAATAAAATTTTTCATTTTAATTATTACATATATCAACTGAAAAGTAAATGGAAGACAAAACGATTTACAAATTGATGTACGTAACTGCAGTAATTATTGGTGTATACAGGTGGAAAGTTAATACATTGTTTTCTTTTATTTAAGTTCTTTAAAAAAAAGTTCATGTTGCTGAATTAATTTTATTCCTGGAATAACAGCATTGGGAAGATGAGATGATTGAGTGCTGTATTACATGTTAGTGATACAAATCAGATTGTTGTTGTAACTGCCTAGACAATGAGTGGGTGAGCAGACTGGACAAAAATAGAAAGCACAGATAACAAGCCACATACATCAAAAAAATTGAAATATATATATATAAAAACACACATTTTGCTCTAAAAGCAAATGAAAAAATATAAAATTCAAATGAATAAGTGGATAATTTGTCATGTTGCTGAGACTGTATACCCAGAGTGCATTAAAACTTAAAAAAATATGCAGTAAATAAACATGTACATTATAAATTGATAAATTTTTCAAATGTAAACTGAACGTTAAATGAAGTTAAGAGCAGTAATTCGTAAATAATAAATTAAGAGTTAAGATAATAAAAGTAAAGCAAATTAAGAAAACAAAATTAAAGCAAATTAAGAAAACAAAATTAAAGCAAATTAAGAAAAAACAAAGTTAAAGCAAATGTTAAAAAAACCAAAAGTGACGCAAAAATTTAAAAAAAACAAATTATATTAAGGAGAGAATAAACTTGTGATAATTAACATTATCACAGTGATATATTTTTGTTTTGCGCAACTGGCAACTTTGATGCATAATTAGTTTGTCTTTGTATTATGTAAGAAATATTCAGTGAAAGAAAATAAAACATCTAGAATAAAATAGAATAGTGACTTAAAAGAATTGATACTTGATGGGCTAGGCTTACTCGAAATAGAATGGAAAGAATAGTTGATAATGTAAACAAATGTCACATTTCAACAACCAATCAGGCTAAAGAAACCTGCACTACTTCACATGCAGCTATCCAAGTGTCGGGAGAAAGCTCGGAATATTAGCTCGGAACCTGGAAGAGTCAAATAATTTGACACTATCAAGTTGCATGATTTCACTCTTCCAGTTTTCAACATCGTAATTTGCGATGGCGCAATATGGGGTTAAAAAATCAGATTTTTTTCTGCACCCACCGGGCAAATAATGCAGCATCCATATCATTAAGAAAAATTCTATTTTCGCATTTTTACAACCAAATTTTTCAGTTAAGAAAAGTAATTTTTCAATAATACAAATTCTATATGTTTGGGAAATTTACAACTCAAACACAAAAATATTATACCGTTTTAAAGATTAACAGCAGTAGAAAAGATAACAATCCATCATACAAGCTGTTACTTAAATATTAGTTTAAGTAACTTTTCTCCCAGTAATGCATTACTGGTAGAAACTTTGATAACAAAGTGCTTTATTATTAAAAATATCAAAAATAACAAAATAAAATTATAGATCTTTTATAAAATTATTATTAATTTTTATTTTCAGTATTGTTTTAACAACTAACCTATATGGTTTTGCTATTATTTTACCATAGAAAATATAAAATTTCATAAGGTAAGAAATTCAATATCTTACATAACGAATATAAATCCCATTTCAGTAATAAGTTTTTATACTATAAATATTTAGAACTGTTTCATTAAATATAATATTTGCATCAATAAAGATACATTAATGAACATAACAAAATGAAGGCATGTAAAAACATAAATTTTAACAGTAAATGAAATACAGGCTTCATTAAACAGCGAACTCACACATATACAATCAATACTATTTGATTGTCATATTCAAATCTATTGAGCTTAATTCTAAATTTGTAAAACTGTGAGTGCTAAGCAAAATTGCAAAATTTACGGAATGAAGAAAATTAATGATTGTTTTTCAAGGGACATACATATTTTTTTTTTTTTTTTTTTGCGAATATGCTTATTTTTATAATTGCTGCAAATGTGCAATAGTTACTCAAGACTGTTAGGTCAAATTTAGTCGATTTAAAGTCAGCAGCGCTGTTTACGCTTATTTTAAAAATGCCTAAAATGTCAATATGGAGAAAAGCCACAGTTTAGTAAAAATGAAAAGCATTTGTTGTCTAATTTTTCAATATTTAAAAACTTGCTCCAATGCTGCATTATCTGGGGATCATAAAAATTTGCAAAAATTGATTTTGATAACTCTCATTTAGGTTGAAAAATGACACCAAATTGGCAATTTTTAAAAGAGTTTGATAACTTTTAAAATACATATTTGATTTATTTGTCCACTCTAAAGCCCAGATAATTCTTCACAGCAAGATTATATAGATAGTTTTAAATCATTACTTTGCTTCAAGTGTAAAACACTTAAACTGTTACTTTTTTTATTTATTTATTTTTGACGACAGATCTTTGAAAAAACATGTTCAAAAGCAACAATAGATTAATAAAAAAAATTGAAATAGCTGTTAAACTTTACAAGTTTTTGCCTTTCTTCAATTCTTTTCTTTCGTTCTCTTTCTGCTTGTTGGGCTTCTTTAGTTTCTTTCTGCAAGTCTTCTTTAGAAATGATTTTTCTAATATCCTTTCTTTTTTTAGGTGTTTCCTGCAACAAGAAGAAAAATATCTCTAATAAAATAAATGCCAATATTTGGACAACAGCAAGTTTCTGCAATTTTATGGAGCACTTTTTAAAATTAAGTGAAATAGTAAAATAAAACTCAATTTATTAAAAAAAATTTAATGTTTCCAATACATTTATCTAGTTATAAAAAACCTTTATAGCTGAAGCACATTTGAACATAACTGACAACAAATATTTGAAATGAAAAATTATAGTTAGAAAACTAAGGTTATTACATTTAAAATATAAAATAAATATCAAATTTTAAACAGTAAATAAAATTTTCCACCATATATTCATAAATTACATTAAGAAAGTGAAGGAAAAGTGTTTAAAGGATATGGATATATATGTATATAAATTTTTTTTTGCTAGTGTGGAGTTTTTATAACGAGATTTCTGAAGTTTATCCTTCATCAGATGTCGATCCATAACATTAAAATACAGAGGAATGGCTCATAAGGCAAAAAAAGATACTAAAGATTTTTGCTATATTGTTCTTTACATATTTGATTTTTATGGTCGGAATAGAATACATTTGAATTTAAAATTAATGCAGTATTTATTTTCTCATGTGAAAAAGCATTTTTTAATTTTTGTTCAAGAAATAATGAGTTAAAAATCCAGGTGCCTTAGGCACATAGCTGTTGTGAGTCCCATTGGTCTTCAAATTTACATGCACTAGATGCTTTTAAACTTTTCATAGCATAAGTAAATTATGATATATTTTTAAATTTGTGCTTTTCGTTATTTCAATTTTTGTTCAACTCATGATTCTAATAGATAATTCCTCAGAAAAAAACACACAAAAATATTTTTTCGTAAATGATTAATCATGATATCATAATGCCCGTGATTTATAATGATATACCTGGCTTTGGAAATACGAACACAAATATGAATAAAAAAATCAATCAATTATCAATTTGTTAAATTTGTGTAGCAAATGACACATTTAGTGGGTTGAGTGGTGTTTCAAATTCTGCAGAAAAATTGGCAACCTTGTAATAGATATGCTTTCATTTCTTAAACTCAGCAACTGTCAACATAGAAATAAAATTCATCCCTTGAGAAGGCATTAGTGTAAAGGAAACAGCTTTCAATAATACAATTGAAATACAAACTTTCAGAAAAGTAAGACAAAAGTAAAGGGTTCTTAAGTAAAAAAACAACTGAAGAAATATTTACATTTAACTTTTCTTTAAACTTGAATTGCAACTATTTTTAAAGAAACCAACAATTTAAACAAACAAACAAACAAAAAAATCATTATAATATTGTTTCCAGTTACATATACAGACTTTATATAAAATAAGAGTTTTCACTGAAATCCTTAATGATATTATTCTAGCTTAGCTTTAGTTAGTTTTTTTTAATATTTTTTTTTAAAGAAAGAAAATACAGCATTATAATAAAAGCTGTATTGATCAAACAATAAAATTGATTTCAGTATAATTCAATTTTGAAGCATTTTCTGAATTTAATAATTATTCATTTAAATATAAGAAAAACACTATTTGTCAAATAATAAATAGCAATGATAGATTTTATCATATTTCTTCAGGAGATTATATTATAAAGTACATTTCCTAGTAAAAATATGACAACATAAATATAATAATTCACAAAAAAAATTATGAGTCATTCATTTTAATAAATATATTTAAGCCCTAGACAATCTTTTCTCAAAGTGAAAAGATAATAATCTTTTTAATAAGTTCATTAAAACTGGATAACTCACTTTAGATAATTCCACACCTGCCAACATCGGAGAAATAAAATAAGGGAGATTTTACTAGTGACTAATCATGTAAGTCAAAAAAAGGATTTCAAAACTGGAAATAATGTAAGCACCTACATTTTGCAAATTAAAAAATATGTATATAAATCTTAATCAAAAGAAGATTTTTTAAACTATTATTCATAGTTACTCAGACCATATTTTATAACCGTTGTTGAACAGCCAAACCAATTTTGGGTTTACGACCATCAATATTCAACTACGTAGCCTTGTAATTTTAAACCAATCCAGAAGACAAGAAAACTCCTGGATCAGTACCCCTAGAGGTATTATTTGTTATGGGAACATGGAGGACTTAGTGACCTGGCAGATTTAACACGCACCAATCACCCTTTACTACACAGGGAGTCTGGCTGGCAGGGATCAAACCCACAACCTCTTAGACATGGGCCCAATACCCTGTCAACCATGCTATCCCAATCCTACTCAAACTGTACTGCAGTACTAGTAATAGCACCATCCGCGGAGGAATAAGAGAAGTATGAAGATACAGAGCAAAGTCGCGTATCCGGAATCGGTGGGACTTCCAGAAGTCCGTATAATAGATTTTTCCGTATAATAGACCCCCAAGGTAAACAAAGCTTAAAATGATTTAATAAACGATCTGAAACGATCTTAAGGGGAACAATGTTTCAGCATTAGAATATCTAAATCAAATATAAAATATTAGAAAAAAAATATTATTGCTGAAAATATGGAAAACGAAAAAAATTTAACAGTTATGAAAATATTAATCCGCCATCTTGAACTAGAACGATTCAAGCAGGAAGGGGAAATTCATGTCATTCTGGAACAAAGCTTAAAATGATCTAAATCTAAGAAGCAAAAAATAAATAAACATTATTTTTAAGGGGAATAATGTTTTAGTATTAGAATATCTAATCAATAAAATATGAAATATTAGAAAAAAAATATTATTGCTTAAAATATAGAAAACGAAAAAAAATTGACATATGAAAATAATAATCCGCCATTTTTAACTAGAATGATTCAAGCAAGAAAGGGAAATTCCCGTCATTCATTAAGGTGGGTAGGTGGAGGAGAAAAATTCATTTCCTCCTTATTTGTGAAAGAAAATAAGTGTAAAGAGGAGATCATTTAAGTTGAGGGTGGGGAAGTAACAAATTATTGTTTTCTCTCCAATCATTGGCTATCAATCAAGCATAAAGGCGGGGCACGCTGATCGGGTTCTCTTTATTTTTTCTTCTATGACTGAAAGAATCTGCTAAAGAGAGAATGTTACCCCCTTTTTCCCCCCGCCTCCTAAATATTACATGGTATGGGGAAGAACGAATGTTTTGTTTCTCAAGGACGTATATCCTTTTAGACCTATTCAAATTTTCCATTTTGACTCCCCCTCCACCTTAACGCTTGCCCCGTTTACCCTTTTCCACAGTATTTCTTCTTTCAATAAAAAGGTTCCAGGAAATGCCTCTTTTACTAGCCACCTGCATGGGAAAGGAGGGGGGGAGGGGACTCAGTTGCGGTCTTTGGAAAACAAATCTCCCTCTTTTTCCTACATTCCAAGGGAGGAGCGTCACTAACGGTCACTCAATGGTCTTGGTAGATCTCCCCTTTCTGGTGATTTATGGGTTTGATGCAGAAAAGAGAAAATGTGTCAAAAGACTTCTCTCTCTCTTTTTTTTTTAAGGAAAGGGGATGATGGAGAGATGTTTGTTTATTTTGATTGTTAAAAAGTGTCCGGGAAATCGACCCTTCCGGGAAAGGGACGTCCGGATATGGGACGTTACACTGTAGTCATAAAATACAGGAGTCTTTGTTAAAAAGCAGGAGACTTGGCAGGTATGTAATTGGTGTTATACATTTTATGAACATTAATCCAAAGAACTGTTTCTTAGTTTTTAAGGGTACTTAGGAAACTTTATAACATCTCACTTAAATGTCAGTAATTATCAAGTTATTTGGAGATAATTATCTTTGTCTTTACTTTTATATGAGAAAAGAAGAAACATTTTTAGTTATACAGAATACAAGCATTTGAAGTTGAGGGAAGAAAATTAAAAACTTATTAAATAATATAATTAATGATATAATATCATCTATATGATAAATGCAAACAGATTTTAACTATACCGTTTTATCTTTTGTGTCCTCTTTGTTATCACTTGATGATTCTGCAGCTTTTTTAATCCGCTTTCGTTTTTTAGATTTTTTCCTTTCTGAATCAGATTCACTAGTGGTTTCTGATTCTGACACTTTCTTTTTTTCTGATTTGGAATCACTATCAGATGCCAAACGTCTTTTTCTTCTTTGCCTAAAAATTTTTTCCGGAACATTAATTTCACAAATTTACTTCATACAAAAAAAAAAATAGTAATATGTGGTGAACCTAAAAACAGAGAATTTTCCTTTAATTCCATCAAATACTAATCTAAGAGTAAAAGATTTGTTTTTAACAGTTGTGCAAAATGGTGTGAATTTGTACAAAAATTTCTTCAAATGATTATGATGATTTCTTAATAGAATAATACTGAGAAAAGTAGATTTTACAACTCAGAATAAAAGTCAGATCAAATTTTTAAAGCATTTAGAGGTAGCAATTTTATGACTGAATTTGTGGAAATCAGTACTCACATATAATAAGAAAAAGCACTCATTTATATGATACAAACATTTCAAGAGTCAAATTAAATGTTTAAAAAAAATATAGGTACATAAAACTCAAACTCATAAACCTATATTTTACAATGTACCATATTTTCTGTTTAAAACGCCGCACATTGATAAAAAAGAAAAGAGTTTTTAAAAAACTATCATAAGCACCACAGAGGCACTTTACTGCGCATATCAGTAATCGCGATGCTAAGAATTGGTGATTGATCTGCAGCAAATCGCGATGTGGGTGAATATTTCGTCGACTTTTTTTTTTTTAAGAATTTCTCTCAGAAAATAATTTCTTTTTAAATAATTTTAGTTGCTAAATATTTTTGCTACTAAAAATTATTTGGTGAGAAGAGCCGCATGTAGGAAAAAAACAACTTTTATCGATCGTGCCGCATCACTTTCTCCGAAAAATATGGTATATTTTATTTTATTTCAACTTATCTTACTAATGTGCACTTTAGGATAGCTCAACTCATAGCAAAAAAACTTCACATTTCCAGCTTATTTTGTGCTGATAATTAATAATTTTATGTCAGAACTTACTTTATCACAAGTAATAATCAGGGCTAGGATTTTGATAATAGGTGCATTTTTTGCATATTTGGTTGTTTTTTATTTTTTCTTCCCCCTTTTTAGAGTATTGTTCAGTAATTTTTTAAGCCATTTTTCACTTTTTAGGTTTTATACTACCTATTTCTTTTTTTATGAATTTAGTATGATATTTTTCTTAAGCAGATTAGGGAATTATTTTCTTTATTTTAAAGTTAAGTATAAATTTTGCATTAAATCTTATTACTTTAAATATTCTCCAATAACAAGCAGAGATAAGGAGATGCTTTTTGACAGTAGGTAATCTTTCAATTTGAATAATATTAAAAAATATTTGACAATATAATGCAATTCTGGTTTTCTGGAAGATCATAATTAAAAATTGATAAATCACTACAGCACAAGAATCTTGCATATATTTTTTTCGCTTCTTGCATTAAAAAATTATTAACGCAAGAAATTCGCGCATTGTTTTCATTACAGAAAGAAATGGAACATGGAAACAACTTCAACGAACTTCACTATTCTATAGCAGAAATAATTGAAAAGTCTATGCTGGCAGATGTAGAGGATAGGAAAGTGTGTGCACAATGCTACAAATTTTCTCAGTGATTCCTGATAGTGATTTCGAACCAAAACCGAATTAAGACAAAATATCGTAACAGATTAACTGATAAGCATTTGAGCAACCTAATGAGAATAGCTGATGAAAAAGTAGATATAGAACATTTCCCATATGATGATGCAGCAGAAATAATCAATGCTTTAAAAATTAGAAGATTGTAAAAATGTATTATAATTAAAGAAATATTTTTTCCCAAGTCTACTCATGTTTTCTTAATTTTTAGAAATATCACTTAACTTTTTGAAATCTCACCCTGTTTTTGAGAAAGGGTGAGAAATTCTCATTTTTTTTCTGTAATGGAAACACTGCCCTGTTGTTGTGTCCAATCCTTCAGGATCTAGCGACAGCTAGATCAAATCCAAGAGACCGTGGACCCTAGCAAAATCAAGCACCAGAAGTGGGCTATCACGGATATCCGCAAGAGCGAGCCCCAAGCAGTCGAGGATATGATCGGGGGAGGCTGGCATCAGATGGCACTTGGTGAACGTTGGAAAGACTTTGCGGCCGCATTCAAAGGTCATGCATTTGAGGTGCCCACTGATAAATCTTGAGGCGGCCGTTTGAGCCTGTCTGTCAGCCTCAAGATCCAATGCACATCCTGGTCTTTTCCTACAGAACCAGGGATGGGCAGGAGGGGAGAGCCAGACCTGCCGGTCTCTATTTTTCGTCACTGAGAAAATCTCTTGAAAAGTGAGGTCATAGTCGGTAGTTGCCATCTCAGAGCAGCCTCTTTTAGCCAGGATATCCGCAACTTTGTTACCAGGGACGTTGACGTGAGAGGGGATCCACTGAAAGTGGACCTCCCTATGATTTGCAAGAATTTTGAGCATATTGATTATTTGGATGCTTACGAGGTCTTTTACTTGACTCCAGTCCTGTAGATGTTGAATCGAGCTGCGGCTATCCGTGAGAATCCAAATGTCGCTAGAGTCAGTGGAGTGAAGGATGGTTTTTAAACCCTCCTCAATAGCTATTAATTCGCTCCTAAGTGCCGAGCAATTGTCTGGGTTTCGTCTGCCACTAATGTTTATCACTGCCCTACTAATGTTTATCAGGTACTTATTTATACATTATTTATGAAACACTGGTTAAAAAACTGTGTGTTACAAATGTAACACAATATGTTACAAGCATGCCACCCAGCCTTTACTTTTTAAAAGCTGCAGAAAATTTCTAAAAATAACAGAAAATTTGATTATGTAAAAATGACATTAAGAGTTATTTCAACAAAAATTATTACAATGGTTCAATTTTCCTTCCATGAAACTATAACATAGATCTTTGTTTTAAATACATTTTATGATAAACTTAAAAATCAAAAGGAAAAGTTACAAAAAACTACATGAATAGTACATTCTCGTCTGAAAAAACTTTCAGTTCCTTTTCAAGAATACTTTAATTGTAATATGCATTTTAATTATAGATTCTGTTTACATACACATAGAGCACATAGTGTGCATCATATGTCTAATCGGGTGGATTCTCACCGAATTATCAAAACAATTCTTACAAAATTATCTTCATCGAAGCCGATGCTTTACATCCGGCGTTCAGTACTATTTCATATTGTTTTACAACACATGGTTTTAGCATTAAAAATGACTTTTGATTAGCATTGAAAAACCTTATTTAATAAGATACAGTAACATAAATAATGTATATTGATTAGCATCTAAATTGAATATAATAGAGAATTTAATAGCACACCATTCAAAACAAACAAGAGATCATACTCAAGAAACTAGATTAGGTTCCTCGCAAGAAATGTAATAAATATTTCTCCTCATGAATAATATCAAAAATTATAATCAATCAGAATAAAATAATACATACCTATCTGAAGAAACTTTTCTAGAGTCTTTGCTAGAATCATCTGATAAAATACGCTTGCTTAATAATTTGTCAAACTTTTTTCTTTTTCTTGGTTGAAAATCAGCAGATGAATCAGAATTATTCTTTGATGCCCCTTTTTTAGTTTTACTTGGTTTTTTCTTTTTACTATCATCTGAACCTAATGTGAAAACATAAAAACGTTAAGATGTTAAAAATGTTAAGTAGACATTGAGGAAACAAGTAAAGAATTATGCAATGGCAAATTGCTCACAATTTTAAATGAAATAATTATTAATTTACTCTTAAACTGTTTATCACAAAAAAAAAATTTAAATCACATAATGAAACTGAATCTTATTTATTACTATTTACATTTTAAACACAGGTATTACAAAACAATAGGCTCCAAGTAAGGAAAAAAATATCACTCTAGATTTGGTAAGTGTAGAGGTTTTGCTTATTCCTTAAAAAAAAATACATATATATATAAAAATACATATATATACAAAAATACAAAAATAAATACATACATCTATATTATATCAAACGCTAATACGTACGTATGTATCAATAAAACCGATGATATTTCTTTACTCGCGCTGGCAACAGTTTTCATTTTTAATTTATTGGATTCGGCACGCAAGAGCACGTAGTGAGCATCATATGGCTAATCTATATTACATAAAACGTTAATACGTTTTAATTGATAGGCTTCGGCGCGCAAGAGCACGTAGTGAGCATCATATGTCTAATCGGGTGAATTCTCACCGAATTATCAAAACAATTCTTACAAAATTATCTTCATCGAAGCCGATGCTTTACATCCGGCGTTCAGTACTATTTCATATTGTTTTACAACACATGGTTTTAGCCCTCTGGTGGGAAAGACTTTAAAACAAAACTTACAACAGTTACTTTTCTCAACAACTGAAATTTAGAATAGTGTGATTAAGAAAAATATG